CCAATACTATTATGGACTACTGGACTCTTTTAGAATATTTTGCTGAGTTAACACACCTATAATATTCAAATAACGGAGCTTAACAAAAAAAGGGGATACAGATGAATATCCATTTTGTATTCTGTGTATTCAAAATGGTTAGGATAGATATATAGTTACATTCTCTTAATGAATAGAGGGATTTGTTCTAATAGTGTTTATAAATAGGTATCATTTCTGCATCTTGTACAGCAATTAACCACTAGAAAGAATGTTTGCAATGTGTTAATTATTGAATCTGTCCTACCAATTTGGTTTGAAACTGTCTCATTGCTATTTGTTTCTCAATAAAGTTATGGGAAAAGAAAACAAAATAAAGCTATAGGCTGGCATTTTCCTGAGATCTAGAGGCAAAACAGTGGTCCATGCTTTTTCCACTTGAGGACATGTGTAAGGAAAGCTGAGTATGAGAGAGGTGGGGAAGAAGAGCAAGAGAAAGAGGCAGGAATGCAGAGCTGCAGCAGGAAGCTCTGTCTCTTGGTCGATAGGACAGTACAGGCCTGAAGGGGCCCTTTTGATCCCTCCCTAATAAGTCACTCTATAAAATCTCATGCCAGATACATTGTTATTCTGCTGATTTCTAGTGTTTCTTTCCTTAATCTAGAAATAAGACTAGATTATTAACTCCACATGGGCGGGAATGATGTCCTGTCAGCTCTGCTCACTTTTGTATTCATAACCCCAGTCCACTGCCTGCTCTGTAAGAATCATCCACCAAAGGCTTCTTGAATGAATGAGGGCAGAAAGGCCAACTTTCAAGAAAGTAGGTTCCAGGGTCAATTCCCTAACAAGGTCTGTCCTTATTTCTTTATGCCGTGCTATAGCTGGATACGTGCTTAGTACACAGTAGGTGATCAATGAATGTTTGTGGAACTCACCTGCATGTGAGGACTGTGCTCACATTGTTCACATACTGCTCAAATCCTTTGTTCAGAACCGAATCCTTTGTTCAGATGACCCTGCTCATGTGCCAGAACAGAAATTCGCCTCTTCTGTCCTTGTGCAACAGAAAGACAATATGCCACCATGAAGACCTAAAGGAAGACATCTGTGTAGAAAAGTGTCTGTGCACATTTTGCTGAAGGGTCCTACCACTCTGAGTGACAGAGGGGGTGTACAGAGATTGGGCTCCCCAATATCACAGTCCAAGTGCTAGAGAATTTCTGAAGTGGCACAACAGCCCCCCAAATGCATGCGGGATGTCACCTCGGGGGCCACGCTGCAGTCTAGGCAGGAGCTGTGCAAAATGCATCATCTGAGCCATCAAGGAGTTTATCCTCATCTTAAATGGCATTAGCTCTCGTGTTGAAACTTTAACAACTCATCCAAAATGAAAAATCAAGAGCGTGCCAAAAAGCGGAGCTGTTGGAAGAGTAATAACGCAGCTCCCAGGGAAGGCACTGAGCTTCTCTCTGAGCACTGAGGCCCCATCAGAGGTCAGCTGGGAGTCTGGTGGAAGGACAGCTCCCAGAAGCCACTGTGAATGGTAATGCCAGCCAATAAAATACCTCTTTACAAATCCAGCAGAAGATAAAGACAGTAGATCGTAGCCAGGCTGCAAAATCCAAGCGTTAGTAGATTAGCATAGGCAGAGCGAGAAAACACAACTAAAAATTATTCAATCATACCAAATGCTTGCAGGGAAACTAGGCCAAAAAAGCAATCAAAATCAAATAGAAGCAAGGTGTGTTTATAGAATTCAGTGGTTAAAAAAACTGAGAAATACATTGCAAAGAACTTTCAGGGGTTTCTAGCCCTAATTTAAGGGGAAAAAAGTAAAGAAACCTTCATTAACATTAAGAAAGAACGACATAGTTCTTTCTCTATTCCTACCCCCTCATGCAGGCTTACCAGGAGTCATCTTATTTCCTGAAAGAATTACAGGATGTGATCATAAAATACAACACGCACTTATGCAATTTGCTTTAAGTTTGGATATACGACATATGTGGCAGACCTCTTGAATTAATTGCATTAAATGTTTTTAGTTATAGAAAGAAGATTCACGGCTCATGCAGGCCATAAATGAAACATCGCATACAGGTAGTAATTACCTCGAATTGCATCCTTGGGTCTTTGAAGATAAATTAGCCAACAATGAGAATTTGATAGCTAATGTTGCAATTAGTTATAGGTATGGTGCAGTGACCTATATAACTATTTTAAAAAAAATCTGAAATTTACACAGGTTAATAGCATAAAAGATTCTTCACTGTTACTTGTGGCAGAAATGCAGGTCTATAAATGTACTAGTGTGGCCCTTCTTATAATAATTGCTTAACTCTTCATAAAGAGGTAGAATTATTCATGTTAATCTTTGCCTAGGGTAGGAAAGGTTCAGATTAACATTCTTTGGACAATTAGTGTCCTACTCACAAGTTATTCCTCGTTGCGTCTTTCCTTTGGTTCTATGGATTTAGACCACAAATGAAGGAGTGGCAGGGTGGTGGTGATGACTTGGCTTCCCCAAAGAAGGGCTTCATCTTCCTTCTCAATGCAGGGTAAGAATCAAATGGTGTCTACATGAGATACCTTCAAAGGGCTCTTGGTATGCAGTCATGAGGGCTGGTCTATAGAACATTTCATTTTCTTTCCTTTCCCTTCCTTCCTTCCTTCCTTCCTTCCTTCCTTCCTTCCTTCCTTCCTCCCTGGTACTAGAGGTTGAATCTAGGGCCTGTGCACGCAGGCACATTCCTGGTAGCTCTTCATCTTCTGTTTTGAGAGCAAGAGCGAGAGGGAGAGAGAGCAAGAGAGAGAGAGAGAGAGAGAGAGAGAGAGAGAGAGAGAGAGAGAGAGAGAATCTAATACGATGTTGTTATGGTTTGTGTCTAGTTGTCCCCCCAAAGCCTCATGCAGTCATGGGGTGAGGACTACTAGAGTTTGTGTTAACTCATGATCCACTGGGATTATGTGTGATCCAAGGCTGGGATTATGGGT